CATCGCAAGTATTGAAGCTGGCTTCTGCTGATGAAACTGCAAACTATTTTCTTCAGTAAAATTTTCTTTAATTGATCGCATCTCTGACTCCTGGTCTTCATTCATCATATCTGGTCCTTGGGTTTTAACTGTAAATTCCCCTACAATACAGCTCTCAGACTCTCCCTCGTTGCGAAGTATTGTATTGCACGGGTGTTTCTGAGCATTTGTTTCCATGTTTTGTCTACCTGTGGATTACCTTTGGATTGTTTATTCTCGTCATGATCACTTGCTGCCTACCCTGGACTTACTATCAGTGGTGGTTCTACATTGAATTACACCCTGGGCGAGACCCCCCCCCCCCCCCAAAATTACACCAATATGACAGTATAAGTTATCAGAACTTAAATAAATATACACTATATACATAAATGTGCCAAAAATATATACAATCAGATATATAAAAAATGTAACAAGAGCAGAGAGCAACAATAATATAAAATATTAAGAATAATATACAAATAAAATATAGAATAAATATTCTAAATAGCACAACTCCTTCATCACACAAATGTGAAAACACACTAAAGAGAATCTAATTATTACACTATTGCACTAAGAACAGAAAACACAAACTAAAACTAAAACCTGACCTTTCTGGCCTTCCTTGATGCAGAATCATCAATGATGTCATCGTATGAAATCTGCTCCCCTATTGAGTGATTGATACTGATGACGGCAAGGCCAGTGAGCCGTTCCTGGGACATGGTTGACCTCAGGTACGACTTGATCAACTTTAGTTTTGAAAAGCGCCTCTCTGCTTGAATATTGATGCATAATTTATTTCCATATTCACTTGTTGTGTCTCCCAAAATGCCTGATAAACATGATTTATGTCCTGATGTCCTCTACAGTGGACATGTATGAAATCAATGCCCTGTTCTGTAACAGAAAGTATTTTTTTTATTTGAAACCCCATAACGTTTTGACATAACGTCTGAGATGTTGGTTTATGAAATACAATTTGAAAAGTAGTCCGATTTAAATTATAATTACACAGATTTGAAAATTCCGTTGGCTAATTACAGGGCCTAACGTTAACCCAACTGATGGAAATAAATAATAACTGAACTTGTAACAGTTTTGTTGCAAAGCACAATATTATGGTGAAATTAGATCTCGTGTTTGTTGAGTTAAAACCGAATTATTGTTGTATAAGCATAGCAAGCATCATAGCAAAAAGGCTAACAAACTTAAGAGTTATACCCACCAATTAACATTAGCCCTTCATTCATTACATGGATACCGTAATAATCATACAGAGAGAACATAGTTGTATACCTTTATCTTTTGCTCGTTTCTCCTCTTCTTCTTTTCTTTTTTTTCTAAATTGGGCACCTAATGGCTTTGACCTTTTCCTGTCCATCTCTGTGTTTATTTGGCACTCGACAATCAACAGATTTCCCATTCTTTCAATTGCAATGCAATAATAAAAAAATAATAATAATAAAAAAAAAAATCAACAGATTTCCCATCCCCCCAACACTGTCACTCACGACCAGAAGTCAAGATTAAACCAATTCACCTTGGTGACCACATAATCGTTTTGTATTACCTATTTTTATTAGCCATTTCACACAATTCAGAAAAACAAAAATGTGCAGGAACTATAGGCCTGTATTTATAATATTATGGATGAAATGTGCGTTATTTGGAAGAAAGTCGACATGTGACTGACTTTAGCCCACTACTTCCATTAGAGTATTGCTCTATACAGTGGATCCCCCCACTTGTCCGTTCCATTTGGGAGAGACCCAGAGGTGAACTGTCCCCCGCGCCGCGCCCCGCTCCCCTTTCCCCTTCTCACACAGCTTCTGTGCACGGCACCTTCTCAGCAAGCAGGGGCGCCAATTTGCCAATTCCCCACACAGTGAAATGATAGATAATAGAAAACCGATTTGCGGCGGCGGCGCAGAGGATATATATATTTTTTTTTAACTGCTGGTGCCGCCCCCCATGTATCATGAAAAAATGCCACCCCGGGCGGCTGCCCGGTTCGCCCGTGCCAAAAACCGCTACTGCTTACTATTGTGAACTGATTATTGATTTATTGCTGCCTGCCCTGACCTCATGCCTGTCCCTGGATTCCGAGTTATCTTATCTTTACTGTTGTGTTTGCTGGTGATTGACCCTGCCTGTTCTACCACGTTTTCGATAAAACTGCAAATGGATTCTCACTCTGTTGAAGCTTCATTACAAAAAAGGAGAAATTGCTTCGCATACCTTTTGTTGATGTTGCCAAAGATTTTGCATGTAATACACTGTATTTTGGCACACAATCATGTAAGCAAATACCTACATGAACAGGTTGACTCACAGGGTAAAAGAAGATTAATGTTCATTTGTATATTTTGGTCATAAATCTGGAATCACTCATCATCCAACCCTGCTCTAAATAATCTGTGCAATCAGACCATAAAACAGACCAAACTGAAGTAGTATCTTCCTTCTTCAATGTTGAGTGTCATTAGGATCTAAAATTCAGGTCTTGACAGTTGAACAATTCATTCACACACAACAGAGCAAACTTAAACTGATGAAAAATGTATTTAGGATATACTGGCATCCTTTACCATAAAGCATCAAATGGAGCTGTCAACTCCAAAAGAATTAGAAATGTTAAAAATGCATGTGCGTTAGAGATACATGTGTTGAGTTAGTGACCTTCATGACATTAGGCAACATTCATGACATCAGCAGAATAAAACTAACAAAAAATGAAACTCAGATTAAAAACCTTCTTTCTACAATATGTTATTTTTGATATATTTATAAAATATAAATATATTGTAAATGTATTTATAAATGAAATGGAATAAAGTGCATATCTGAAGCCAGTCTAAGCAACTAAACTCAAAAACAGACATTGCATGTAACAATAAACAATTAAAAGCTGATATATGACACAAAATGAATGCACTGTGAAAGTGATTAACCATAAAATTAGAAAAGAACATATGCAATGAAAACCATTGTTATTAAATAAATCAATACATCAATAAACCACAGATGATTATTAAAGGGATTAAAAAACAATAAAACATTAGGAATTGTAAACCCTCCCCTTCATTTTGTGTGCAAAAAATAGGTATAAAATGTACAAAAATAGGCATTAAAAAAGCTTAGTGAAACTAAAGAATATAATTTTAGAGGAAATTCTTAAGCATTTACATTCTGATAAGATCAACAAAAAGAGTTTCATGCTCAGGGGTAAATTCACAAGACTTTGCATGTGGTTTTTCAGGTTTTTCAGCCATACCTGGGACTTACTAATCAACTGGAATCCAGTTTAACCAAAAAAAAATGTAATAATAATAATTCTAATAATGGCAGCAGTTATTCATCAAATTATAGTTAAGCACATTTTCTAAACGTTAAAGAGCTATTTATTTTAGGTGCCTGGATTGTTTTGGAGCAATGCTGTATAGCCCCAGTAGAGTATACCAGATCCAGGGATGTCTGCTGCATTCTTACAAGCCTTCAAAACTGGCCTGCAAGATGAGAAATTGCAACATGCAAATTGTGTCTAGTTTTAGGGGTTGTGTTTACTTGATTTGCATTATTCCTTGTGAATCTGGCCCAATGGCAACCCAGAGGGCACATGCAAATTCATTCTCAGTGAATTATTGCTTAAGTTTCAGAGTCATTGCTCTGAACCAACATAAAGTCTTCTCCATTTGAGATGGACATGTTTAAGATCCAGTGATTTTAAAAGCTTGAAAAATATACAGATTTTTTTCCCTGCCATTCTAGAATTTTTTTTTTTTAAGAATAGTTCATGCAAAAATGAACATTTGCTGAAAATGTACTCACCCTCAGGCCATCCTGAGTGAGTTTGCTTCTTCATCAGAACAGATTTGAAGAAATTTAGTATTTAGTATAGGAAATTATGATCCGCACTCACGAGAACAATCTTCTTTTTTCTTTTCTTTTACATTCATTACTGATGGGAAAAGACACAAACGTTTCGGCTCAAAGCCTTCCTCAGTGTGAAAGAAATTTAGTATTACCAATGGATCCTCTGCGGTGAGTAGGTGCCATCAGAATGAGTCCAAACAGCTGATGAAAGTATCACAATGACCTTGTGAATAGAAAAGCTGCATGTTTAAAATAAACACATCCATCATTAAGACGTTTTTAACGTCAAACTGTTGTTTCCAGTTAAAATTCCTCTACTTTCCAAGTCCCCTTCCATAATATCCATAATATGGCTTTCTCCACTGAAAAAGTCATCTCATCTGAATCAGGAGAGAAATATGCACAGATCAAGTACCGTTTGCAAGCGAAAACAGTCTAAAACCGTTCTAAACAAATATGACAGTGGATTTTGATTTGGGAAGGCAACAGTGGATGGACTTTTTCACTATTATGGATTACAAACTCTTATTTTGTCCAAGTTAAAACACCTTGATGGATTTGTTTCTTACAAGCACAAATCTTTTTGGATGAAGAAACAAACTCATTTACATCTTGGATAGCCCGAGGTTGAGTACATTTCCAGCTAATTTGTTTTTGTGCTATGTGCTAATTTGTTTTTTTTTCTTTTTGTGAACTATTCCTTCATAACTTTTGCTCAGAGAGACAAAATAGATGTTTCATCAGCAACGAACAAATGTGTGCCACTTTACTTTTTACTACACTGTTCTTATGAACTGGGCAAATGTATTTGTGCCCCTTCACTTTGCTCTAATAAAATTCACATTTTGTCTCATACACAACAGAACAAGTATTCACTTAAAGAATTTAGAGGACTGGCATGTTAAACCATAAAAATTCTTGCCAAAGGATTGCTCTCATGCTGGCTGAATCACATAAATATAAATACATTTAAAACTAAATAAAAATTGCATTTTCAAAGTTCCAGAAACCCCAAATAAAATACTCAACTTAATATCGATTTCCCTAAAAAACAGCACGTTATTCTTTTTTAGTCTTACCAGTAAAATAAAAACAAGACCTTTTTACTGCAGTTTTGGCCTCAGGCGTTTTTCTGCAAGTTTTTCTTCTAAACATTCCATAAGAACAGGATCCACTTTTGGATCCACTTTATTAGCAAACCAGTGGCCATAGTTTAGGAGCCATCTGAGCTCAGCAGCACCATAAATACATACAGCTCGTATACTGACTCCAGTGCATGGTGGGTAAAGAATCCTTTCTAGATAAGACCACTTCACCAGACGGGTTTTACTTTTCAGTTCTGAGATTTCAGGGTCAGAACTTGGCACTTCCCCTGGTACTCCAGACACACGAACCAGAGTTGCCCAGAAGTGTTCATCAGGTGAGTATGTATCCTCAGACCAAGCCAAGAAATCACTGGCTAGGGAACTCTGTTGCACAAAAACCACAAATTCTCTTGAAAGTGTGAAGTACGCGCTGCCCACAAACATGGCTATGTTGTGAGGAGGTGGAGATTTCATCTCAGAAGTGGTGACAGGTGAGCTGTAGTACTCTGAATTACTATCTTTCAGTGAATGATGATAAGTCCAGCGACCTGTTTTTCCTTCAGGCCACTTGCTCTCCACCATGTTCCTGCCTTTCAGCTCTTTTAGATCCGACACCAGCTCAGCGTTTGTCCGCAGTGGAAAGTCCTGACCACACAGGTTGATGACATACTTCCACTTGACCTCAGAATCTAGAAGGTCAGACAGGCAATTAAGATCTGCTTTGAGTCGTGAGAAGCCTGCGTACTGCACCCTCTCCAGTTTTGAGGCAATGAAGACGTTGGGGATGCAGCGGGCCAGACCTTTCATTGCTGAAATAAAGTAATCTGAGGACTTCAGATCATAATGTATGCAGTATATGTTATGCGGCATATAAATGGCCCTTAGCAACCTCTCCACAAGAGCCACATCCTGGTGAACAACCAAAGAAAAAGCAAGAACGTTTCGGCTCAAAGCCTTCCTCAGTGTGAAAGAAATTTAGTATTACCAATGGATCCTCTGCGGTGAGTAGGTGCCATCAGAATGAGTCCAAACAGCTGATGAAAGTATCACAATGACCTTGTGAATAGAAAAGCTGCATGTTTAAAATAAACACATCCATCATTAAGACGTTTTTAACGTCAAACTGTTGTTTCCAGTTAAAATTCCTCTACTTTCCAAGTCCCCTTCCATAATATCCATAATATGGCTTTCTCCACTGAAAAAGTCATCTCATCTGAATCAGGAGAGAAATATGCACAGATCAAGTACCGTTTGCAAGCGAAAACAGTCTAAAACCGTTCTAAACAAATATGACAGTGGATTTTGATTTGGGAAGGCAACAGTGGATGGACTTTTTCACTATTATGGATTACAAACTCTTATTTTGTCCAAGTTAAAACACCTTGATGGATTTGTTTCTTACAAGCACAAATCTTTTTGGATGAAGAAACAAACTCATTTACATCTTGGATAGCCCGAGGTTGAGTACATTTCCAGCTAATTTGTTTTTGTGCTATGTGCTAATTTGTTTTTTTTTCTTTTTGTGAACTATTCCTTCATAACTTTTGCTCAGAGAGACAAAATAGATGTTTCATCAGCAACGAACAAATGTGTGCCACTTTACTTTTTACTACACTGTTCTTATGAACTGGGCAAATGTATTTGTGCCCCTTCACTTTGCTCTAATAAAATTCACATTTTGTCTCATACACAACAGAACAAGTATTCACTTAAAGAATTTAGAGGACTGGCATGTTAAACCATAAAAATTCTTGCCAAAGGATTGCTCTCATGCTGGCTGAATCACATAAATATAAATACATTTAAAACTAAATAAAAATTGCATTTTCAAAGTTCCAGAAACCCCAAATAAAATACTCAACTTAATATCGATTTCCCTAAAAAACAGCACGTTATTCTTTTTTAGTCTTACCAGTAAAATAAAAACAAGACCTTTTTACTGCAGTTTTGGCCTCAGGCGTTTTTCTGCAAGTTTTTCTTCTAAACATTCCATAAGAACAGGATCCACTTTTGGATCCACTTTATTAGCAAACCAGTGGCCATAGTTTAGGAGCCATCTGAGCTCAGCAGCACCATAAATACATACAGCTCGTATACTGACTCCAGTGCATGGTGGGTAAAGAATCCTTTCTAGATAAGACCACTTCACCAGACGGGTTTTACTTTTCAGTTCTGAGATTTCAGGGTCAGAACTTGGCACTTCCCCTGGTACTCCAGACACACGAACCAGAGTTGCCCAGAAGTGTTCATCAGGTGAGTATGTATCCTCAGACCAAGCCAAGAAATCACTGGCTAGGGAACTCTGTTGCACAAAAACCACAAATTCTCTTGAAAGTGTGAAGTACGCGCTGCCCACAAACATGGCTATGTTGTGAGGAGGTGGAGATTTCTTCTCAGAAGTGCTTACAGGAGACTCATAGTACTCTGAATTACTATCTTTCAGTGAATGATGATAAGTCCAGCGACCTGTTTTTCCTTCAGGCCACTTGCTCTCCACCATGTTCCTGCCTTTCAGCTCTTTTAGATCCGACACCAGCTCAGCGTTTGTCCGCAGTGGAAAGTCCTGACCACACAGGTTGATGACATACTTCCACTTGACCTCAGAATCTAGAAGGTCAGACAGGCAATTAAGATCTGCTTTGAGTCGTGAGAAGCCTGCGTACTGCACCCTCTCCAGTTTTGAGGCAATGAAGACGTTGGGGATGCAGCGGGCCAGACCTTTCATTGCTGAAATAAAGTAATCTGAGGACTTCAGATCATAATGTATGCAGTATATGTTATGTGGCATATAAATGGCCCTTAGCAACCTCACCACAAAAGCCGCATCCTGGTGAACAACCAAAGAATAAGCAAGGGGAAATTCACGCTCAAACTCAGAGCCTTGAATCGCATCATAGCCCCGTGACACAACAAACCAATCACAGTCATAGGTGGCATTCACAATAGTTCTGTCGTTTTGCCCTACGTAGCTTTTTTCCTTGCGAATGACTAAAGTTTTGCCCAGTTCCACTGGTTCCATTTCATATATTGCTGTGCAATTAATGCCATATTGCTCTGTCAGCTGAAGGCTCTCAGACAGTCCTGTTTCCTGTCCTCCTTCTTTTACTATTGAAAATGTGATCGTGAAGCAACATATAAGAAGTGCCAGGGTTAAAGCGATACATATCACATTTCTCAGTTTGAGGCGGAGCCACAGTCTTCTCATTCTGTATGGAGAAATGAAAGCTCATGTTAGTAATGTAATGTATACTGTATGAATTTGATGGTGAGTACACTATAGGAAGTCCAGCCATACCTTTGCGATGCTCTGAGGCCAGCAGCATTGGCAGTATCCTTTGAATGAAGACGAGCATGAGTTTGGTTAGCATGAGCAGCACCACCTATTGTCATAAAAATAGACAAAATGTTAAAACTTTGGTCTAAACTGAAGCTTCAGCTTTATAAATATTTCAGAATGATTGAAGAATATTATGAATATCCAAATATATATATACATTGTTCTAGACTGGCTTTTAGTCTGTGCAAAAAACATACTAGTAACTGTATTTTTTATTCATAGAACTTGCATATTTTTGTCATCAGATTCCACACCAATACTGAAACCAATTCATGTTTTCATCAATCAAAAGGAAGTGAATGCGTTAAGAACAAAAACAATAGATTAGCAATCACAAATTGTTACAGTAAACTCTAAGAGCCCTAATTTATTATAACAAGTATTTTATGATTTAATGTTAATGTAAGTATTTTTATGTTACCACATTCTTTCATCACTGAGTCAGAGCCTGTTAAGAGTCCATGCCTTTTGTTCGAGTCCGGTTTTATAACTTGACAGTAGGCTATAGTCCAGGTTGGGTTGGTCTGATAACGTTGCATACTTCTTCCAGAAATGAAACTTCTGCCACCTTTCTTTAAACCCCGTATGAAATTAATTCTTCCGTCGAACCAAAACGAGACGACAGCCATCATTCACTTCGTATGTAAAGGTGAATGGCGTCTCTCAGCACGCTGTCATTCCTTCAAATTCTGACTTTTGTGTTGAAGAAAGATAGTCGCACAGGCGTGGAACATCATGAGGGTGTGAACACGTTAGTAATAACTCACTAAACTCAGTGACTCGGTTAGCCAATGTCTAACGTCTAATTTCAACTGGTTCATGTGGTTTTAATCACCTCGTTGACGGAATATCGGTCTGTTCTCTCATGATAAGAACAGGCTATACCTTTTTTATCTTTTTTGCCCATTTGGCGGTCACATTGTTTAGATTTTTTTTAGGGCAAGTCGTTTTGGAGTTATTGCCGTTTATCTCTGAATGTGTCACGAATATCGAAAACAAAACTAACTTAACCCCGCTGGTTGTACCTCGGTTGTACCCAATCCGTGTATCATTCGATCATTCGTTTTTTGATTTAATATTGAAAGTAGACAAATGAGAAAAGGGCTCCTTTTTCGTTTTTTTTCCAAAAAACGAAAAACGAGAATTCAGCTTAAATTTTCGTTTTTCGTTCATGGGTGGAAAAATTAATAAATAGCTTGAATATTCGATTTCTACACGTGGGTGGGAATTAGACGCCCCTTTCTGCTGATTGGTCAGCCGAAGATCAAACCGTGCCGTCATCAGTTCTTCCATGACGCAGCAGAATAATAGTCCTCCACTGCTGCAGTTGTACGGATTAATAACCCATTTTATCAATTTCATATTTTTCTCATCAAACAGACTAATGAATAGCTCGACACAACTCGTACCGGGCCTAGACAGAGTCTAGACAGTTCTTTCTTCTGTGTAGACCAGCGGTTCTTAAAGTGATAGGGGGTCCAAGAAATGATTTGCTATAGCCTAAAGTATTTCCAGACTGTAAAGTCGCTTTTTTTATCATGCCCAGCTGATGCAAAGAATAGAATTTATATCTACACAGGAGAAATCCCTGTCTAGACTCTGCCCAGGTTGTGAGTTGTGTTGAGCTATTCATTAGCCTGTTTGTTTGATGAAAAAAGATGAAATGTAGTTGCAATAAATGCTTAAGAATCCATACAACTGCAGCAGCAGAGGACTATTATTCTGCTGCATGATACTGCAGAAGAACTGATGAAGGCATGGTTTGATCTTCGGTTGACCAATCAGCAGAAAGGGGCGTTTAATTCCCGCCCACATGTAGAAATCGAATATTCAAGCTGTTTATTCATTTTTCCACCCATGAACGAAAAACGAAAATTTAAGCTGAATTTTCGTTTTTCGTTTTTTGGAAAAAAAAAAAAAAACGAAAAAGAAGCCATTTTCTCATTTTTCTACTTTCAATATTAAATCAAAAAACGAATGATCGAATGATACACGGATTGTACCCCTACCCGCAAGCCACTGTTTTTTACTATTCAAATGTGCGTCCAAGAAAATCTCTGTCCTTAACTCACCTCTTTCATGTATATATACACGAAAATATAGCTAGGCTATAGAAAGACCGCAAATGACATCTATTCAACATTTGTTTTGGTTATGATAGTGTTACTAGCGTGTAGAACACTAAAACGTGATGCTTGAAGACTTCGAGCAGTTAGTAAATAAATGCCAAGTGGCATTGTTTTCAGGTTCCGCCTTTACTGTATTTGATTAACCACATGTGGTGTCTGACATGATGAAGTGTGGGAGAGTATAGGCTACACAAGAATCTCATCGAGCTAAACAGTTTTAGTGTTGAATTTTTGATTGTTCTTGATGTATTATTTGACATCTGATAGCTATGGGAAAATGTATTGGGATTTGTTAAACCTGGAAAATGTATTAAAACATGGTTCAAGAGCTGGAACCGAATGGATACGTTAATAAATGAAAAAGAAATATGGGTCACCTTCCAAGATATTTAAAGGAATGGTTAAACCAAAACTAAAAATTTGCAGAAAATGTACTCACCCTCAGGCCATCCAAGATGTAGATGAGTTTGTTTCTTCATCGGAACAGATTTGGAGAAATTTAGCACATAGTCTACTTGCTCACCAATAAATGGCTGCCACTGCCTTCAGAATGAGAGTCCAAACAGCTGATAAAAACATCCACAATAAATAATACTTCAAACCATTACTACCAGCTAAAATGCAAGATCTTTTTTTTTTTCTTTTTCTTTTTTTTTGGCTGAACTGTTTCTTTAATTGTGCAATAGTGAAACCCCAAATCCCTACATACACAACACAAGAAAAAATAGAAAAGTCATCTGTGTTATTGCAGTAAATATTCTAGTTACCAGTAGTGAACTATATGCTCTTTCATATTTCAAGGTCTGTCCCTGCAGCCAGAAGAAATGAAAGCTGGGTGCTTGCCATGTTTAAAGTGACTCATTCCTGCTTATTTAATTTTTAATTCTATCACATAGTTACATTTGTATTACAAAAATAATGATTGTGATTGCACAGCTATTTGATGAATAAGTGTGCACATTTTGTATTTTGTGCATGTTTTCTGTTGTATGATCTTTATTCCTTTAGGACAAATGAATGTCGTCAGTTGCTTAAAGCAGACGAAAACATTTATGTTGCCTACACTTAATATGAAAACTACACATGTGAATGCAATGCCTTAGTCCAAGTTGTGTTCAGTGCTATTTTCTAGATTAGAACATACATTATATTCCATGTGAATGTGAGTCTTGTAGGCTGTCACAAATTACTCTCTGTGTGTGTGTGTGTGTGTGTGTGTGTGTGTGTGTGTGTGTGTGTGTGTGTGTGTATATAGATAGAGT